ATCCAACAGGTGAAGCAGCAATTTGACTCACTTACAAATAAAGAGTACGTTGACAATCTACAGAAGGTACATTCTTAGTTGCATCTGTCATAATCCCTATATCTAAATAAGTTGATGATGTAGTTGGTTTAGCTTACTTTGGTTTTGCTAAATCCACAGGAAAATAGGACACTGATGAAACTGCTTGCTGACAGAAAGTATCCTTGGCTATCTATTTTAATTATTGTGTATTTCTCTGATTGATATTCCTAATCTGGTTTGGCATGTTTTGCTTCGTCAGTTTCCTTAATTCTATTTGGAAGCAAAATCATTGAATTGAGCAGAATAGAGTTACAGAGCTTGAGAATCAATCTGCAAAAAGTACAGCAACAGAATTTGCAACTTGCCCAAGCAAATAGCCAGATGTTAGGGGTACTTTTTGCACATTTTAGTTGTTGATTGTTCAAATCTACCAAGATGCCTGGTAATTTCATCAACTGATTTTAGAATTGGTTTTCTACTTCGATTTTGCAGGAACTCAGTTCAGGTAAAGATAGGGTAAGTCAAGTTTCTGCTGATGAAGTCTGAATAGTGTATGCCTTCACTTTCTATTTTAAATTCAAGTGAATTAGCATGAATTAACAATTATCTATTTTTACTTTTCAGTTAAAGGCACTCCAGCACGAACTTGCATGCAGAAATGGTTTGCTCAAAGTGAGAAAACTGGAGGCTGAGGTCAGTTTATCTACTTAAGACTTTAGTCAGTTTTGTAAGGTTATAGACTTTGTTATTGAATTGTAAACCCCTGTGTTCCTAGGAGAGAGAGAAAAGAGGAACATGCCAAAATACAGAAAATGAGGTACTTTGCAGATGCCTGTGTGGTTTCTTAATTAAACTTTGAAAGTTTTCATTGACCTATATATTGTTTACATATTTCCTTTCACTACCCTTAGGTATATTCAGCTAAGTATGCTGAGGCAGGGGAGTCCTTGCAAGCAGACAAGGAGAATGGGCCTTGTACCAAAAGGGAACGACAACCAAACAATCGGCGTAAATACTAACTTGGCGTCTCATTGTTTTCTGGGATCTTGATACTGTGCTAACATTTTTCACCTATTTATTTGCATGCAGCTTTGGGCACTCCTACCGTTGAAGTAGTCCAAGTTAAAGCGAAGGCTGACAGCAAAAGGTTTGTTTGTTTATGTTTATGTTTGATTACTTTATGCAAGTACAAGTTTTCAGTGGGATTTCACTTTATTTACACATGCTTTATGGTTTCATAATAGACTTTTGAGAAGGCAGTCTGCAAGGTTTAAAACTGAAGATTTGTTTGAGACCAATGGTACCAATGGTGAAAAAGTTCCTGTCTCTCCTCTATGTGATAATTTGGTTCATGAAAGTGGTCCAATATGTTCATTAGTGGAAAAAAAAGATCCTACTATTGAAGCAATCCAAGCTAAAGAGAAGCCTGGCAACAAAAGGTTTGTTGATGTATGTCTGATTGCTTTGAGCAAGTATATACTTTCAGTAGGTTTTCACTTTATTTACAAGTTCTTTATGGTTTCCTAATAGACGTTTGACAAGGCAATCTGCGAGGTTTAAAACTGAAGAACGGGAGGCAACTGAAGAATTGTTTGAAACCAACGGTAACAAATTTCCTGTCTCTCCTCCACTTGATAACGTGGTTCATGAAAGTGGTCCAACATGTTCATTACTAGAAAAAGAAACTCCTACTATTGAAGCAGTCCAAGCTAAGGAGAAGCCTGACAACAAAAGGTTTGTTGGTGTATGTTTGATTGTTTTAAGCAAGTATATATTTTCAGTAAGTTTTCACTATATTTACAAAATCCTTTATGGTTTCCTAATAGACGTTTGACAAGGCAGTCTGCAAGGTTTAAAACTGAAGAACGGGAAGCAACTGAAGACTTGTTTGAGACCAACGGCGACAAATTTCCTGTCTCTCTATGTGATAATGTGGTTCATGAAAGTGGTCCAACATGTTCTTCAGTGGAAAAAGAGGATGAAGGATACAGTGCCCCAAGATCTGAAGGTCAGGAATGTCGAAGATCATCTACAAGGCCACTGCGCCGAGCAGCTGGGAAGATCACGTCATACAAGGAAATTTCTATTAAAGTGAAGATGCGGAGAGATTTCTGAGTCAGTTATTCTCAACTTGGCACTACATTCTGTTGGTAACATAAAAAGCAAACACGTAATTGTCGTCCCCTGTCTTTGTGCCTTCTGATATAGTCTTGTGATATAAAATTACTCTCTTTTTAGGATAAATGCTTCTAAACTTGTAAAGTTTCATGCTGATCTAGTTTCTCTTAATATCATCAGCAGATGTTGGTTTATAATGCTCAATCCAATTGCTGTATTACTCCATCATTGCAGTACTTTGTTCTTACCAAATTACCTAAGTTGTTGTACGTTAAAAATGTTCACATGCGAGAGCTTATTGAAGAAATCGCCTCGATTCTTCGATGTTTTAGTTTAAAAAGAAGCTCCAACTTAAGTCCAACTCTAGAAATGATATGTTTATTGAATCACAAATAAATAAGTGTGAATGAGCATTTCTTTTGTAAGTGCTTCTAAACTTGTAAAGTTCCATGCTGATCTAGTTTCTCTTGATATCATGAGCAGATGTTGGTTTAGAATGCTGAACCTGATACATGTCGAATTTTAGTTGTAATACTCCATCATTTTAGTGGTTGCTTTGTGAAGGGGAAAATGTTATTATTTCTCTGATCTCATGATTTTAGTAAATTTTCCTTTGCAGTACCTTGTTCTTACCATTCATCCAATCACTGGTGGTTATGATTTATTTTTCTTTTTTCTTTCCTTTGTTTATATAATATTCTGATGATGTGGACTAATCTTGAATAAGTTGATGTTATGATCCAATTATGAGAATGTGAAGGGCTGGACCCCACAGCACCGATCGCTCTAATCACATGCAAAAGATCTTTTTGAAGCAAAGCAAGTGACAAAAGAGGTCGATTCCTTTCTTTTTCTTACATCATGATCAATCACCCTTTGACAACTCCAATCCGCGTTCTTGCACGAACGAAACTAGAAAAAAGAAACTCTAAACAAATCACCCAACTTGAAGCAAAACCAAAAAAAGCTACTCGTTTTGACAACAAACTTTGAAACAGATTGGAATTGTGAGTACCCTTTGACTAGTTGGACCTCGCTAGTTTTCTCATGTCCACATGTTGAAGTTAAGATTTTTGGTTTTCGTATCGTGTTAACGTGTATCGTTTAATGTAAAATTAATTAACAATAAACCGAGCGAAACAAAACGTTTATATGTTCTCATAAGATTATCATATCATAACTTACAAGAAAAGAAAAAGAAAGGCGAACAACATAAATTGTATATCACGATTAGAACTAGGATTAAGATTTACTCAAGTGACAAAAGCAGGTGGAAAAGTGAATTAAGATTGCATCAAATCCATACGAGTGAAGTCATGCTCTCTAAAAATGGAGAAAGGGAAGAAAATATTCATTTTTTCCTATCCTATGATGTGTCACATTTTAATTGCACCACACGAGAGCCCACTTGAGTTTTTATTTATATTTGGTTTTGAATATATAATTGCATTTGTGCATGTGAATGTGTTTTGAAGCATGAAGAATTGGAGATGGTGGACTCATCATGGCATTTAGACGTTGGGAGGACCCACACGCAAAGCATTGTTTGGACAAATCTTCCCATGTATCCAGTTCAAAAATCTGAATCAATGATCAACACATTTTCATGTTCATTTTAATCCTTTCATCACTGGATAAATTTAATTTTTTACCCTAAAGACCCTACCATTATCTCCTTTGCCAATTTTGTGAAGATTTCATTTCAATTCTACACACATACCACCCATATGATATTGGTGCGTCGCATTTTGCATTTCTTGATCAACATTTTCTCAAGGGTAATGAGAAAAAAACCTTTATGTTACTCTGATTATGTATAAGATTTAAAATCAATTTCGACACACATACCACCCATATGATATTGGTGCGTCGCATTTTGCATTTCTTGATCAACATTTTCTCAAGGGTAATGAGAAAAAAAACCTTTATGTTACTCTGATTATGTATAAGATTTAAAATCAATTTCGGGTATGTGCAATTACTCGCAAATCACATATGCAAATTGGGTTATAATTCAGGGACTATTGCTCCTAACAACCCCTTAAATTATATTGAAATAGTATGCAATGAAAATCCAAATTTAGAACGTTGAAATTTGTAGAATGCGCTCGAGTCCAATTAGGATACTTTTAATCTTATACATTACTTTAATGATATGTTCAGAACAATTTTATGAGCTTTTTTTAGGGAGGAATAAAATATAGGGTTTCTAGTATTCTCCGAAAAATACAATCATCAAAAGTTATAAAATAATATTTACTATATATATAAAACAAACACAACCTAATCCAGAAAAAAATTGTATGTTTTTAGAGCCGCAATTTCTTTATTTGGTTACTATTACCAATTAGTGGAATCAAAGTTTGAGCAAAGGGGGGCGGCCAAATGAAACATAGCAACCATTTATACATTTTTATCCTCAAGAGTCAAAAAGAACACTTGAGCTTATAATATAAAGGGAAAAAAAGGGTTATAAATCAAATGGCTTTAATCATTCATCAAATATGACTTTTTTCTTTTTGTTGTTTAATTCGAGAAGGTGGTGTTCTATACCAGACATAAATTTAGGTTCATGGAATAATAAAGCTAATATAGTATTTACTGTTTATCTTTTAAAAAGTAGCGATTTCGTATTCTTGTGAAAGATGTGATAAATGAATAGTAATGTAATCGACAACTAAGCTAAGCGTGACATTCATCTCTATGAAATCCATCACATCCGTCACATGTAAACTTGCAATATTTTCGTTAAAATGCCACCTCTTTAAGAGAAGTGTAGTTTAAAATAGAACCAATAAACGTGTTATGTGTTACATCGCTCTTCGGTAAAAATATGCATGTGCACGTATCATGCGCGGCTGAGATAAGGTAAAAGGTGTAGCTGATGAAGACTTGTGTCTCACTGCAGATTTCAGATTCCCTTCTACAAAATTTTCAGTCCTCGTGTGCATTTTATAGGGTACAAAGAATGCACTTGGCGCGCAATTGACCTTTCTATAAATGCTTTTGGCCTTTTGTGTTTTGTTCAACCTTCATATCTCATATGAATGAAGAGAAAGATAAGGAGAGAAAAACCAAGGAAAGGGAGCAGAAACCAACTACTTGTAAGCCACCACCAACATTTTGCCTTAGCCTCTGCCTCTGCCATTTGAATCCTTGCAACTAATGGAAGTTCAGTGCAGTCCTTGGGAACTTTGCTATCAGGAAGAGGTATTTGATTCTTGTCAAGTTTCTGAAATTCTGTTTTCTCAAGTTGAAAAAGACCCAATTGGCCCTTTCTGCTAGTTTCTTGTGTGAACATGTCTAATTTATTTTCTTGAATTGGCTGCAGGGGATACAAGAGTTGAAGCATTCTCTTCTGTACACAACCTTGGAGCTTGAGACAGCAATTTTGTCAGCAAAGGAGAAGATTGCGAAGAGAGAAGAAGAACTTGTTCAGCTCAAAGATCTCCTAAGCAGAACCCTCCAAGAGAGAGATGAGGCTCAAGCAAAATGCCAAAGGCTAGTTTTGGACAAGCTCATGCTCCAACAAGAGCTGCAAAAACAGCAAAAACAACAAGATCAAGAAGTAGTTGCTGCACAAAATGAGGAAATTGAATCAAAAGGCAGGGACTCAAACAACAAACATTTTGCCTCTTCTGACTCTGATGAAACCATCACTGCATCACCAAATGCAGACCGAATTATGATCCCACCACCATTGTCGCCACAACCACAAGCTGCATCAAAATTGGCAGCTGAGAAGCCATTAGTATTGCCAGAGAAGGGGAAGCTACTGCAAGCAGTAATCGAAGCCGGACCGCTCCTTCAAAACCTTCTCCTGGCTGGACCTCTGCCTCAGTGGCAGCACCCTCCTCCCCAGCTCAAATCCATTGAGATTCCACCGGTTGCAATCTTTCCTCCAACGCGGCAGCGGCTTCTGCCCCAAGACTCTTGCATTAGCAGTAACATTAGCTGTTTCAGCAACAAGAGAAGCCTGGTGCACTGTGATGAGCCTGGTTCTGATTCTTCACCCATCACCAAGTACCAAAAGCTTCTTCTGCGTTGACCAAAACTGCTTTTTTGCTTTTTAGTTACATGATTTTCTAAGGCTGCCCATCTTTTTCACACTGTCACACATTCAAAGGTAGCAGCATGAAATGGATGGCCACAATGCCTCAGTTTGAAAATTGTTTCAAACACCAGCCAGTCTTAGGAATGAAAAATCCTAACTTGTTTGATTTAGCATATATATGTTGGATGGAGACTTGAATCTATATCTCTTTCAGCATTTAGCTGCTCTAAATTCTGTAGTTGATGTGAAATTAATGGGAGATCAAATTACAGTAACCAAATTTCAGAAAGATGGTATTGTTCAATTAAAAGCCATAATTGTGCTCATGCTATTTCATCTCACTTTTGCTTTTCTTGGTACATCAAATCAAAGTAGCATAATGATGGAAGATATGAGCATGACAAATGATCACAAATCTCCCAGAGATTTTGCTTTTTGTGAAGCATGGACACCAAACATACAACTTGATTGTGAGTGTCTGCCATAATCCCATCAAAGGCATCTAATTAGATTTATGATGCAAACGGTTCAGTTGGTAATTAAACTAGTTGTAATAGCAAATAAAGACCAAGTTCAACTGGAATTATTCAAGAATATAGGGTTTAGGGTTGGTTTAGACTTGGTTTAGACTTAATGCAACAAGTCAATAAAAATTAAAGGGAAGTAAAAGTTTGTGGATGTTGCTTTCTTTAGTTTGAACCTTGAACCATCGAGCCATATGATAATCATGAAGGCACATGCTGAGTGAGGAATTTGACAATTAGGCCCCACAGCTTTTGGACACATTTACAACATTGTTGTGTCACGGCTAAGATCATCTCCAAAAGATTAGGCAAACCTCATTTGCCTAGCCACATTAGTATTTTCATGCTCCAAGGAAAGAGGCAAATGGGTAAGCAAAATATACCTACTCTACCCAACAAGTCAATATTGCGTACTTCAAAGTGAACAAATTGGCCCAATTTGTACACTTACATTGCATAGTCTCTTGGGGTGGCCAACTTTTTTCATGAGGCGAATGCGTTGGCAACATGCCACCTAGGTTGTTATAGTACAATATTACCTATTTCATTTGCATACTCCCTTGGAAATGCTCTAAGTAGGGTCTGGCATGGGAGCTTAAGCCACAACCATGGTGTGGAAGGTGAAGTGCATTTTGGTAATTGACAAAATCGCTTTTTATTTGTATTTTTCTTAAAATTCGGGCCTTATTATCCATCCCTCCTAAGTCCTCACTATTGTATGTCAGTCTTGTCTAAATTTGATCTTAAGTGGCATTATTGTCGTCACTCACCTCATTTGCATACTTTTCTCTACAATTCATTAGTTATTATATTCTCATAATAATCCAACTTTAATAACAAGTTATATTCTTGTCTATCTATTTTTGTTTTCTTTCAATCCATCCACTGTATTTCCAGGAGTGGAGAGAGGCCTTGATCAGGCCCTGATCCCCCAATTTTAGGAATATATAACATATGGAGGGAGATAATAAGAAAAATAATAAAATCTAAGTTTATGGTCTCTCCAACCATTAAATTATGGTTCTGTACCTGTGAGTTACAATCCATCATCACTGTATGTTACATTGACATTCAATCTTAATCATAACTTATTGACATGTTTACTAATCAAAAATCGAGATAAGCATGAATCAAGTTAACCAAGAATATGAATCATGCATTCCAATTAAAACTATCCATCATGAATCAGGATGAAAAAAAAACATTTTGATTAAGAAAATGCCCTTAAACAAAATATGTTTTATTTCCAAGGACAACAATTTTTCACATGAAAAAAATTATTTGTGAGGGGTATTTTTTGGCAAGAAAAATTTGATTCCCTTTCATCCCTTTCCCATCCCACGCAAATCTTTTCAATGTCAGGAATCAAGAATCAGATTTGTTGTGACCCCACGTTCATTCTACCGTGTAAGTAAACAAAGGAGTCATCTACGATGGGAATGAATCCCATTCTACCCACCTTGGCAAATGAGGTTGGGCTGCCACGCAGTTCTATGTTTTCTTTTGAGTTGTAAGTTGTCGTTTTGGTTAGTCCCGAAAAAAAAAAATTGTCATCTTGGTGAAATATTAATTCAAGGATAACATTATATAACAGTTAGTCGGGAAGAAGGTGAGTAGCAATTTGTTTTTTTCTTTTTTGGAAAGAACACTTTGTCATTTTGGTTAGCTCCACTCTTAAATAGCCAATCAACGGTAATTTAGAATAAAACTGACTACAGAAGAGAGAAGAAGAAAATCAAAGAAGAAATTTTTAGTGGGTAGAGCAAACAGAAATGATCTGAAAGCCAGCACAATTCAGAGGTTCACACAGACTCTTTCTCTGAAGGAAAACCAATGCCTTTATATACCTCTCCATTTCTTCTTTACCCGTCACCAACTGCTCCAACTGTCAACTGCCATTTCCCTCGTCGACGCGGCGCCACGTGCCCTTCATCTTCTCTACGGCGCCGTTTCACCTCCAAAGTGAAACCCTTTCTCCCACTTCCACTCCATTCCGCCAAGGTTTTCAGAAAACCCAATTTGCAGTGCTCGGCCTCCTCCTTATCCATGTCTGCAGAGGAGTCCGCTTCGACCTCTCAGGTTTCTGCTCTCGCTCCCAAAACCTGTTGAGATTTTCCAAAGTGTTTTCCATGCTTTTTGGAAGCTAATGTTGCATTGAAATTTGGTACCAAAAGACAAGAAATTTGAAGTGCACTTCATTATTGGAACCCAAGTAGTTAAAAAAATGGCCAATTTGAAGAAACAGAAGATGAATAAATTTGAATTTGTTGTGGGTTTTAATTAAAGGATTAAACTTTCTTACTGTTGTGGTTGGAGTCACTGACATTATAGATAAAGAATGAATGATTAAAATGGTAAATTGAATTATGATGTGGCCATACCATGGAGGTTGATCTTTTTCGCTGTTCGTGCTAAGTTATGATCGGTGGGTTGCAGGGTAGCTTGTTGTATTCAAGGGCATTATGGGTTAGTGAATCAATTATTGCTTGGAATGTGTATGTTGGAAATGGTTCCTGCTATTTATTGGCCAGTAAAACTGCTGCTTTATCTCTTACAAGTGATGGAATTCTAGGTAAGGACTTTACCAACTCTTACTCAGTAGTGAATCATAATTATTTCAAATCTAAGAATCAAGTATGATGAGACTTCTTTGCTAACAGGTGAGGATGTAAAAGTTAAGCTTGAAGAAGATAAGCACGGGCTTCCAGAAAATGTAAGACGTTATGTTTTCTGTTGAAGCAGTGTTCTTTTTATTTTTATTTTGGACCGATCAATGGTTGTTGTTGTTGGTTGTTTGTGGGCTTTTTCGCTGTTCGTGCTAAGTTATGATCGGTGGGTTGCAGGGTAGCTTCTTGTATTCAAGGGCATTCTGGGTTAGTGAATCAATTATTGCTTGGAATGTGTATGTTGGAAATGGTTCCTGCTATTTATTGGCCAGTAAAACTGCTGCTTTATCTCTTACAAGTGATGGAATTCTAGGTAAGGACTTTACCAACTCTTACTCAGTAGTGAATCATAATTATTTCAAATCTAAGAATCAAGTATGATGAGACTTCTTTGCTAACAGGTGAGGATGTAAAAGTTAAGCTTGAAGAAGATAAACACGGGCTTCCAGAAAATGTAAGACGTTATGTTTTCTGTTGAAGTAGTGTTCATTTTAATTTTATTTTGGACCTATCAATGGTTGTTGTGGTTGGTCGTTTGTGGTTTGCTTGCATGTACCATCTTATTGCTGGTTTTTGCCTAATGTAACTTCTTGATAAGTTGAACACTTCTTAGAACTGACCATGTATCAAAATGATTGTTGTTAGGTGAAAGAAAAATTTCCTCATATCAAAGATTACAGAGCTTTTAATGTGCCCCCTGATTTGGACGCCAAACCTCTTCTCAAATGCCAATTGGCTGTTGCTACTTTCAATTGTAAGAACGTTGTTGCATTTGTTCTCTGCCAGTCAGTTATGATAAATGCACAATTAGATTAGCAATTGTCTTCCTAAGTCTTACAAAATGGCAAAAAAAAAAAGAGCACTGATTATTACCGTCTGTTTTCAAATTTCGATCTGTAGCCTTACACTTGAGGGGAGTGTTGAGGCCTACATGTGATGGAGAGTGCTGAAATACATAAAACTCACCATTTCTAACACTTTTATAACAGAACATAGAGTCACTACCTTGTGTGTGATTTGTGCGCATCTTGATCAATATAAAAGTTCAATTGCAGTTGCTTAATTTCCAGCCAGTGAATATATGGTTGATCTGTTTTCATGTTATACAGCTGATGGAAGGTGCAGTGATGCTACTGGTCTGCAATTACCTGGTATCCTAGATGACTTGTTCTCATATAATGGTCCCCTTGGTGCACTTTATTCAAAACAATCAGTGTCACTTTACCTTTGGGCGCCTACGGCTCAGGTATCTTATATTTTATAAGGTTTTCACTAATGCTCTCTCGGTCCTACTTACTTAAGCAATCATTTGTTTTTTCAAAGCAGGAAGTATGTGTTTGCATTTATAGGGATCCATCAGGTGGGAGTCCCCTAGAAGTAGTGCAACTTGAGGAATTTAATGGCGTTTGGAGTACTAAAGGACCAAAAAGTTGGGAAGGCTGCTATTACGTGTATGAAGTGTCTGTATATCATCCTAGCACCTTGAGAATTGAAAAATGCTATGCAAACGATCCATATGCGAGAGGGTATGCTGGTTGTCTCATTTAGCCAACAGTTATCCTATAATACCTAAGGTGTTTTCATATTCTAAGGTTATGCAGCACTGCTATCCGCTAGTATGTAATTAGTCATGGACATTGATTTATATGCCTGCACATCGATATTTCCCATGATTTAATATTTTTTAATTTTTGTTGTAGCAGGCTCTCATCAGATGGCAGGCGGACATTGTTGGTCAATCTTGATTCTGATAATATAAAACCTGAAGGATGGGATAATTTGGTAGATGAGAAACCTGATATACTTTCTTTTTCCGACATAAGTATTTATGAGTTGCACATAAGAGATTTCAGGTAATTACTAGTTTTCATGTGATTTATAGTATTTATGAACTCAGCTTCAATTCTTACTTTTAGAAATTATTTTTGAAAATCATAAAACAACTTAAAGATTACACATTATAGGATTTCAAGTTGTGTTTAGCTACATAGAAGAGTTGTTGGTGAAAGAGACGTCTGGTGTCAAGTTTTATGCTGTATCACTTCCAAACCTCTCTCTCTCCCCTTCTCTGCTCCGATGCAACATAAATCCGGGGATCTATATAAGGCCACTTTGCGACAAAAAGAAATATGATGCCACTTTCAGCCAATTTTCTAGAAAGAGATCTCTATTGATATATGTTATGTTTAACTTTTAATGAGTAATATGTGTTCGTTTCTCCACATATGATTATCGTTTTGGTATTGAATGAACTCTGTAGGTTTACATTCATTTTAATATACTGAGTTGCCATTACAGTGCCAGTGACCAGGCTGTGCATCCTGAATTTCGTGGTGGATATCTTGCCTTCACTTTGCAGGTAATTCTGTTATTCTGCCCTGATGATTGACAAATGTAGTTCCTAGAAGATATGAAATTTTCTGTATTAAGAGGGGTGTTACCCAAGTATACCTGAAGTATACTAATTAAAAACATAGGTATAGGAATTAAAATGTAAAGAAACATTTTCATGAATGATTGTCTAGTGGATAAACTTTGCACACCAGAACTGGTCATGCTTAGTTTCCTTTGTTTGTGTATCTTGAACAAGCTTGTTTCATCTGATTGGTGCCTAAAGGAAGCTATGCAAGTAATGCAAATGGTACATACCGTGCAATTGAGTTTAGGAAGATGGTTCAGGTCTGGATATTGTGTTTTCACTTCACTAACTGTGCCAAGAATCTTGTGTTTAATGCTTCTTGTGTAGATAATTAAGTTATGTAATGCGCAGTCAATTTAAGTTTTGCTTCTGTTTTCCTAACTGGCTCTGTATTCTCTCATTTTCGAATTTCATTGACTTGCTGTCTTTCAGGAGATACAAAATAATTTCTCTTTCCCTCCTTCCCTCTTTTCGTCCGACTTTCCTGTTTTTTGCTTATGCCTCCTGTTTAATTGGGTGAAAAATAATGGGAAAAAGGTTGTATTGGTTGCTGGTTGCAGGCGCTTAACCGTTTTGGCCTTCGCGTTGTCTTGGACGTTGTTTACAATCACTTGCATGGTAGTGGGCCCGTTGATGATAATTCTGTTCTTGATAAGGTCGTGATTTGTCATTAGATGCCATATAGACTGCTGTCATGTCTTATATGTCTTCCTGATTGGTTTGTCCATTCTTCTGTTGTGATTTTAAGTTTATTTACAGATTGTTCCAGGATACTACTTGAGAAGAAATGCAGATGGCTTTATTGAGCATAGTACATGTGTGAACAACACTGCTAGTGAGCATTTTATGGTTGAGCGCTTAATTGTTGATGATCTATTGCACTGGGCAGTTGATTATAAGGTGAGAGTTTACTCGTCAAATGGTGTCTTAAATACCTCAAAGCAGCTTCTCATAGTCACATTTGAAATGAAAACTCTTTTATCCCTGGTCAGCATGAATTATTATTTTTTTCATATGTATAATGTGTACTGATTTATTATTGGATTGTAAAAGGTTTGAACTTTTATCCTTTTAAGTTTTAACGGGAGATTCTGAAATGATTAATCATCTGACTATTTTGGCAGGTTGATGGGTTCCGGTTTGATCTTATGGGTCATATAATGAGAAGAACAATGGTATTTTACTCTAATAAGCCAGTTACATGGTGCAATGAGTGGATGTGCAATAGCCATGGGCCTAAAGATACTAATTTGTGCACAGGTGAAAGCAAAAGATGCACTCTGCAGCCTAACAAAGGAAAGGGATGGAGTTGATGGTTCAAGTATCTACATGTAAGTTTCGAGCTACTCAATATTTTCATTTAAGACACTTTCTATTATTGTGGCTATGGAAATTGGTGCTTGAATTTTTTTTATGTACCTGTTGTTTTGTTTATTGTTCTTGAATATATAGCATGATTTTGGCTCAATGTTCCCTTTTTACCCCTTTTATGAAGATATGGTGAAGGATGGGATTTTGGTGAAGTTGCCAACAATGGGCGCGGAATAAATGCCTCGCAGATCAACATTCATGGAACTGGAATCGGGAGGTACCATTTTTCCTTTTCCTTTTAATGGAGTAACATTTGTTTTCCTTACTGTGTTGGAACTAGGAAATGGGATTGTTTTCCTTTTTTGATTTATTTCTCTCCTTATCCAAATATTCAGAAGATACACAGAAATAGATAGGTACCTTGGTTTAACTTCAACCTTGTACTGGAATGGCTTGTCTTAGTCAAATGTGAATTCAGTGGGAATTATATATACTAGCGTTTCCCTTCTTCTTTTTCTCACTGCCTAGTGCCTATAGCTATGTGTTGGTTTATCTAGAGAGAATTGCCTTATTATGTCGAGTATTCTTATTACCTGTGTTTTGGGAATCCATTAGTTTTAATGATCGAATACGGGATGCGATACTTGGTGGATCTCCATTTGGCCATCCTCTTCAGCAAGGATTTGTGACTGGACTACTCTTGCAGGTATATAAAGACTGCTTCAAATTTAATATTGGTTTCTTGCTAACGTGTGCTAAGTTGCATGAATATACTCTATATGCATGTATGGATAGAGTGGGTGACTCAAGACGAGGATAAGGTGAGGTGTAGTTAGCATGATCAACATATATGGAAAAAGAGCGTCACTCTATTCTTACATCTTTTGTTGTAACTTGTATAACTGAAGTAGTAATATGCATATTACTACACTTTTGAATCTTATTATGAGGAAAAGTGCTTTCTTGTGTAGAATATATCATTGTTTCAGTACTAATAGTTAGTAGATTTATTCTTGCTTCTGTAGCCTAATGGTCACGATCATGGTCCAGAAGCTGTTGCAGAACACATGCTTGCTGAATCAAAGGATCATATTCAGGTATCTCATCCTGGTGCGTTCTCATATTTCTAGCGTTTTCTTTTTGACCAGACACTGGACTCCATTATTTTCTTAGTCCATTGTACAAATCAATCACGAAAATCTGTTAGATGGCAACAATGCTGTATTGTTGGAATCTGCTGCATTAGCAGACAAGAACTGATAGGTTTCTTCCACTGGGGGATAAGAACTTTCAGTCAGAAACGAAGTTCTCTGTGGATGGGTACTTTGAAGTTTCTTTTTCATGTCATTTTCTCATCTCTTTGAAGTTTTATTTTGTCTACCTTTATGTAACTATTTAAATGACATATGGATCCACATCTTGTTTTCTTCCTTTGGGTGATATTGCAGAAGTCGTCGTAAGCCATAATTCCTTTTTTTCTTATGTGATTATATCTAATTCATGTATGGTAATTCAGGTTGGCATGGCTGCAAATCTGAGGGACTTTGTTCTAACCAATTGTGAAGGGAAAGAGGTATACATTAATTCCAGAGGATAAGTCTGTTGCAGTATACTGTCTAATATCTAAACTTGCACTTTGCCTCCAAAAACCCAGGTCTGGCCCTGCTTTTGGGAACAATGGATAACTGGACAAAATTTAATTAGCTTATAATCTTGTGATCTAAGCTTGCAAGATTTCTCTGCTACAAGAGAGCTAATTCATTTTGATTTCATCTACGATTTGATGAACAACTTCTTCTTTTGTTTTGACCTCTTGTCTAATCTTCAATGTCTCTTCCCATAAATCATAGATTGCAGCAACTCTTGCTGAATATGGCTGTATGCCACAATCCATTTTTTTAATTATTTAATTTTAGCCTGGAATAACTCATACAATCCATTAATCTCGCATCAGCAATGAATTCCTACCATTCACACAGAAGCTCCTTGTTCTAGTGTTATTTTTACCTGAAAGATTTGTTTCTAACACAGTTACACCATACCATTCGTTTCTGTTGATGCTTTAGCTGAAAATGAACTACCTTGGCATTTATATATGTTGATTTCTGCAGGTAAAAGGATCAGAAGTATTGACATATGGTGGGACACCTGTAGCATATACTTTATGTCCTACTGAAACTGTAAGGATCCACATCCGAATTCATGACTTTAGTTCTTGCGATTTTGTGTCTATGATCACCTGTTTGAATATACTTGATGTTGTTTGAGCCATTTTTTTATACCCTCAACCGATTTAGTGAATGTGTGATTTGAGATCAATAGGCGAGTGCCAGCGGTCAAGTGGGCTTAGCAAGTCCTAATGTCATTTCGATACTAGCTGGTGAGAAATGGAAACCCTGAGGATCCAATGAGATAGTTAAGGAACCCTGGAGACTAGGGATGTTAGATGAATTTTTAGTGAATCCAGAGTCCAATCCAATATTTAGATAGTTTGAGATAAGGAAAGTGAAAAAATACCTCATGGCATTGAGAGTTTCATCAAAGGGTACTCTCTAAAGATGATGGAAAGAATCAACATTAGGATCATCAATGTTCTCTCTTCGTACGTCCCTCCAAATAGATATCAACATTAGGATCATCCATGTTAATGTATTTGCTCATATTGATGTTTTAAAGGTACTCTGATGTTTATTAACATGGAAAAATCATACCATTGACTACTTGGATTGTTTTCCAGATCAATTATGTTTCAGCTCATGACAATGAAACTCTGTTTGACATAGTGAGTCTGAAGGTATGATCAATGTACTTCTACAGCATTTATTTTACTTCAGATTTTTAATTTCTGATCTGACTCAATGCATTACTTGTAGACTCCAATGGCAATTTCTGTAGAGGAGAGATGCAGGATAAATCATTTGGCGACAAGTATAATAGCACTAGCACAGGTTTTAAATGCTATTAAAAGTTAATTAAATACAAATTCATGTACATTTTCATTTTTCTCTATATGATTTTGTTTTACACAATTGCGTTGACTATAGGCTATGAAGTGTCTGTAGTGTACTATAAAGTGATACTTATGAAAGGCTGGCGAGTTTGTCTTTTTATCCTTATTATTGGTTACAAGACGTTTCTTAAATTCAGGTCATTTTGGGGGAACAGCCTCTTATGGATAATGATGGATTGAATACCATCTCCTATACGCGGTATAAATAATGGATGAAGAACTACCGAGTCTTTGTTTTCCGTGTGAGTAACGGAGAGATCCAAATTTTAACATTTGTTTCAAGTAGAATGAACTTGCATTGACACTTAGTATAGTACCCCCAAATGAAATATATTCCAACTTCATTAGTTGACCATTTTCAGCAAGCTTGACTAACCTTAGTTGGGACTGTGATTTTCTGAGGTCAATATCAGCAGGCTGTTAGCATTATTTATATGTTTAATAATGAGTTTTTCTATAATCAATTTTCTGGTATATTGTATGATCAATCATTATTTAAATGATTTCCTAATTTTAGGGAATACCATTTTTCCACTCCGGCGATGAGATACTGCGGTCGAAATCACTTGATCGTGACTCGTACAATTCTGGTGATTGGTTCAATAGGTAAGCCTCAGAAGAGTCACATCATCACTGCTGTGGAAAATTTCTCAAATTTGTTACGTATTAGGTACTCTTCGCCACTTTTCCGTTTGAGGACGGCAAATGCTATTCAGGTGAGAGGCCTTGTACACACACTTATGTTCTAATACAAAAGTAATAAGTTTTTATCCTGGAATTGAAATTGAAGGAAAAGTATACACATACTTGTTGTATAACAGCAGAAGATTATGAGCAGAAAATGCTCTGAGAATGCAAACACTAAGGGACAACAAACCAAATTCACTCCCCAAGTTTTAATACATAATATTCAATTTTCCAGGAACGGGTACGTCTGCTGTGGAAAATTTCTCAAATTTGTTACGTATTAGGTACTCTTCGCCACTTTTCCGTTTGAGGACAGCAAATGCTATTCAGGTGAGAGGCCTTGTACGCACACTTATGTTCTAATACAAAAGTAATAAGTTTTTATCCCGGAATTGAAATTGAAGGAAAAGTATATACATACTTGTTGTATAACAGCAGAAGATTATGAGCAGAAAATGCTCTGAGAATGCAAACACTAAGGGACAACAAACCAAATTCACTCCCCAAGTTTTAATACATAATATTCAATTTTCCAGGAACGGGTACGTTTCCACAATACTGGCCCTTCACTGGTCCCTGGAGTCATAGTAATGAGCATTGAAGATGGTCATGAAGGAGTGCCAGGGTTATCTCAGCTGGATCCAATGTCAGTATCAATAATCTCAAACCTTAATTTTTTTTCTTTTTATGATGCCAATGATCGGTAGAATAATTCATTTATAAACATTTGTGCTGCACAGCTACTCATACATTGTGGTTATCGTCAATGCATGTCCAACTGAGGTGTCATTTGCAAGTCCTTCTCTTCAGGCTCGTACTCTCCAATTGCATCCTGAGCAGGTAAATCACTCACGTGTTGAGGTTAAGGCTGTTATTTTCATATTGTTTCTTTCTTCCAGCTCATATCTACTCGCTGAGTTCATATCATTTGAAGTTGCTTCAAATGTAGACTTCCTTGATTTGTTTTCTTATAGATCTTTAACATAAACTTTGTCTAGGTAATGTCAACTGATGAAATTGTCAAGAGATCTACGTACAACGCTTCCGTAGGATGTTTTACTGTGCCTCCAAGGACTACGTCCGTGTTCGTTGAGCCTAGGGGAGTTTGAGTAGCTCTGCTGTAGACATGGTCCGCTAAGGATGTCATAAGTTTTGAGTGCCATGGTTGACTAGAGTATGGTTCATATCTACTTGTTGGCGTACGCTTAGCCTCAACATCAGTGGTTTTGGTTCTGCTGTGGAGGAGTGGGAGAGGCAAAACCCAATGATTTTCTTTTTAGGCACTCATAAGTGTTCAGTGGAAAACTGAAAAAATATACAAACACAAGTTGTATAAAAATTGGGCAACTCTATTTGCATCTAGCGATGCACAAAATGCACTCTCTAAATATTGAGATAATGCACGACGAGTTTTGTTTAATAAATCAAGAAGGCAATAGCTCAGTTTGCACCTTCGAAGCAGTTTAAAAAAAAAGTAAAAACGATGGTCTAAAGTATAAAGGGAGGGGGTTCTCACACACACGCCACGTTGCCGTTCGGATTTGAACTTGAGATCACTAGTTTGCAAGTCGATGCCCCTTTTTACTGGGCTAAACTCCATTGGCGAACAAATCAAGAGCGCAATGTGGTTCTTTTATTGAATAAATGATGTTTACCGGGTTCCTATGATCTAAGTATACCCTAATATTTAAATCAAAATGTAAAATTAACTAAGTACACCCTATTTAATTACCAAAAATACCACGGATACACCCTAATCCACTCTATTACATAGCAGCAAACCCATTCGAATCTGATAACAGCATTCATCAAGGTCAAGTGGCATACTAAATTATTCGGATATCATGGCTGAGCTTTGATTCAAAGGCAGTAGAAAGCCCCTTGTTTTCTCTGTGATTTATTATTCGCCATTGCCATGTGGTTCTTTTATTGAATAAATGATGTTTACCGGGTTCGAGTTTGAATTCTCTCTACATCACTTTCCCTTATTCGAGTTTGAATGAATTAGCACATGTACCTTGCTCAACCACATAATGGAATAGGGTTTCTATCTATTTTTCCCAGTTAAGCAGATTCTTCAACTCAAATCCCAAAAGTTTCAATCTTTATTTTCTTAGTTTTCACCCAAATTGAATTTGGTTTTTTCTTCAATTTTTTAGAATTTCAATACACAATTACCGAATTCCAGTTTCAATTCCAAGTAAGCACGTATGAACTCGCTTGGTATTTGGAGGTTTTTTAATCTTTTTATTGTCAATAAAAGGAAATAACAGAGTTTTTGGAGTAGGGTTTTTTGTTTATGTTTGAGTAGAGTTGAATATGGTGAGTAAGGTGTACTTATTAAAATTACATTTATTTCATAATTCAAAATATCCTTTTTGGTAATTTTATATTATGATAAATTAGTAATTTAATAAATAATTTGATAGTAGGGTGTACTCAGTTATTTTTAGGGTTCATTTAGCACCACTCTTTTCTTTTTAGGAAATACTTTTCTGATGAAGTTGTTGCTGACATAATTTTATTTTTTATCTTTTATATTTAGCAAATCATTGGGCTAGATTTATCCTCCTGATGAAGCCCAAACTCTGATTAGGATGTCAAGCAATTAATGTCCCCACATTGTTATCACTCCATTTGATAGAAACCCAACCTGTTTAAGGTCATGTTTTTTGCTGATTAAAAATCTCGTGTCTCATTCTCATGAACCCATTTGCAAATTGCAACCTCAACCGCCACTCCCATGCCTTGTTTTGAGCAATCAATCTGCACCACATTGGCTTTTCAGACCTCTACCAATTTCCCCTTGTTGCACATGCCTCAATAATATTAATACCCAAAAAATAAAATAAGAAACAGTAAGTGACAAGTAAAATATTGTTAATTTTTTAGTGAGTGGTAATATCTAAGAACAGATGTTTTAATTTAATTGTTTCTATAATTTGGGTTTTTAAAGCTTAATCTTTTCTAATAATTTGTTTCTTGCTCTGTTGGAGTTGTACATGTAGGCATGAAGAAATTGGTCGTTGTCATATGAGTATTGGGTGGTGGTTGTGTCCCTTGAAAGCAAAAAAATACACTTGAAAATCTCAATTAATTAAGTCGTAATCTTTCAATTTTATTTAACACCCACCACTTCCACTCTCAAGTAGCAGCAGAGAGAGAAAGTGAGTGAGAGAGAGAGAGAGAGTAATAATATTAATAAAGAGAAAAATCATATTCAACACTAATTTCATATTGATTCAATTCTGAATTTGGAGAATGACAGTGGCAGGGATATGTTATTTTCCTTCTCTAAATCTAATTCCAACACTAATTTCATATTGAACCACTCAATTTTTTGGACAATGACTTTGGCGTCTGTATAGATGAAGGCAAGTTGATCAAATCTCAAATTTTTTTTTTGAGCAATTTGTTTACTATTTAGGTTCCATACTGGAGGTGACACTAGCTTGGCTCTTTTTTTTTTGGTCAAGCTCCTTTTGAGTTTATTGTCATCCTTTTAAATTATCCACAATTTAACATTATTTTTTTGAAAATATATTTTACTCACAAGTCAGCGCCAAAAATTATGTATATTTGTAAATAATCCAAATTATTAGTTCCTTCTCTCTGTATAAATAAGAAAAAAAATGACTAAAAAGGAGGAAAAAAGAAAAAGAAAATTGGGTCAACTAGCTAGCCAGTAGTGAGCATTTTAAGTCAGAACTTCCAGGTATAGACTATGTCATATTGATACTCAGATCTAGCAAAGGTGAATTTTATTTTAGGAGCAATATTTTAATTCCAAATGTTAATTACAATTACAAAGATATATAACGAACATTTTTTTTTCCAGGCCAGTTAAGAAGGAGATGGGAGGTTTTCTCACACACTGCAAGTCAAGGCCCTTTTACCCACTCGACTAGATCCGTCGGCTATAATAAACTTATTAATACAATTTTAAATTAGACCCGTTCTGATCACTTGTTAATTAATTAGTTTGATTAAGCATGCCCACAAGCTCAGCAAACACATTGTTTGTCATGAGAGGGAGAGGGAAAATGATGTCTTTTCTGTAAAAATTAATCAGAGACTGAGAGAGTAGTGACCTCACTAAAATTTGGAACATATATATCATAACTAGATCTACCTCTCTCAACCCTACCTGTCTGTATTATAATTAGGTAGATCCCAATGGCAATCATTAATCCTATGTTTTCTACTGTGCATGCCTAAAATTGACTTGTGCAAAAACAAAAACTTGTGACTTGTGTTGTGAATTTGATCTCATAATTTGATGGACATATATATATACACATATTCATTCATTTATTCATTCGTTCGTTCTGTTACACATTAAAAGTTTGAATCAATATTTAATCATTTTGGTGTTTTGGGTTGCGTAGTTGCAACAAACATGTTCCATTGAGTGGCTCAGAAGCCACAAAATCTCTCTCTCTCTCTCTCTCTCTCTCTCTCTCTCATGGATGACTTGTTGCATTAAAAAAAAGGAAAAGTCGGTTACATTCACTGGCATGGTTGCTCAATACTGGTTAGCAATAGCAAGCAATTATATTATATAGTTGAACATTAGTATATGTATGGTTTGTGTTGTCTTGTAGCAGTACGTACAGATGAAGTCATGGCTGAGTGGAGACGAGAGAGAGAGAGAGAGAGAGAGAGAGAGAGAGAGAGAGAGAGAGAGAGAGAGGAAGCCATGATTATTTCATGATCAGCAGAAGAATATAATCCTTTGCTTCTCCAATGACCAAAGCTTACTCTACTTAATTTCGTCTTAGGCTGGTTTTTGAGACCTTACGTGCCGCACACAACCTTATATATATATATATATATCCATATCCAGATATTTCTTCAAGCCAAGAATAATTAATTTGTTAATTATTGATGCCAATGCCTGCATCTTGCTACATTTGGTAATATGACATTAATTAATGATAAAGTATATATATTTATATATGTATGTATCTATCTCTGTATATATACAGGGGTAAAATACTATATACATTATACCCATTCCATACGTATACGTATACGTAATTGTCATTTTAGTTTGTAAACCAATATGTAATTAACTAGGCCAATAATCCAGTTGCTTGCTATTCTATTTAGTTCTTGAAGATATAAATTTATTAATAATAACCACAATAATTGCCGTATCAGTAAACCCCAATGATGATCAACTTAAGATTAATTAATTAATTGATAATCATAGAGCTAATTGGGCAATATATACGACTGGCTTATACATCCTATATAACTATAAGAGGTGTCCCATAAATTAAAGATGGTTATGCATAAAGATATGGCTGCAGGGTCAACAGCACACATGAACTGATTGATTACAGACAAAATAGTGTGCATAATAATGGCACATCACACACTCACAAAGATACTTATCCATATTACTTCTATATTTTAAAATTAATTAATATTTAGCAGCATTGAGAAGCAAACCAGCTTACCCTAACTTCGAACATACTTGGTGCAACTGGGTTTGGTTATTGGCACTTGGGTTTTATAAAAATTAAAAAAAAAAGTTTTTTTTTTAAATTATAATTTTTTTATAAATTAATAAATAAAATAAAAAACTCGCTTTCAATTGTATATTTATACACTTGGGGCGTTTTTTGGTTTTCTTGTGGAAAATTCACTAGAGTAAAGCTAGGTTACATTGGTTTGCTGCTAGATTCGAGCCCTTAGAGTTGTGAATGGGAGAGTACCATAGTCATGATTATCTTTTGTACCCCATTAAAACCTGTATTGGGTCATTTGTTTGGGTTTTGTATATTTATACACTTGGGGCGTTTTTCGGTTTTCTTGTGGAAAATTCACTAGAGTAAAGCTAGGTTACATTGGTTTGCTGCTAGATTCGAGCCCTTAGAGTTGTGAATGGGAGAGTACCATAGCCATGATTATCTTTTGTACCCCATTAAAACCTGTATTGGGTCATTTGTTTGGGTCTGAAGGTGTAATTGGTTGCCTGTGTGGCTATTGTAATTGAGCCTCTCGGCTTTTATCAGTAAAGAAAATGGTCACATGCTTATTTTGCGTGAAATATATTATATATCATTTTAAAATAAAAACCATGAGACTGAGAGAAAGGGAAAAGGGAGGACTTTGTTTCATTTAATACCCACCAAAATAATGATTCAACAGGAAATCTTTCAACCCCAAGAAAAGAGAAAAGGCAAACTATTGAATCAAAGAAGAAGAAGAAGAAGAAGAAGAAGATGGGTATGATGTTTTCTAATATAAAAGTTAGGGTTAATCTGATTAAAACTTTACATTGCACAGAAAACCAAGAGATACATATATATACATTTATGGCAAAATGGTACCTATTTTAGGAATGGTGATTGTTCCATTTCTGACTGAGTGATTACTAATACAATCGAATCTTTACACATAGTTAGCGGTTGAGCTGTAAGTATGGCTTTAATCTAATTGCCCCATAGATCTTGATCATCATGAAAGCCATGAATTTAGAGGAATTCAGATTTAGTGGGATGTAATTTCCCTAAAAAAAGGAAAAGAAAACCCCCAAAGATAGGGTAGTTAAATCACTAGTTGCTAAGTTTGGCCACAAAATCCGAGATAAACTCTGGTATCCCTAGTTTCATACCGGTTGTGTCTTTCTCACACATTATGCGACAAGAAACTAGTGTAAGAAACCGGTGTAACCAAGTTTTTCTTCCGAACCCCAAAAAAGATAAGAAGAAGACACACAAGAATTGCATGTAATGTGTGGTCATGCAAGCATGACACTATACTTGACAGCATATAGTGTCATACATAGAATAGAGAATAGAAGACAAAGATTTAAAAAAAAAAACAAAAAGATGGAAAATGTTGAGAGAAGTGGGAGTTGGGGGAGCACCGCAGATTCCGTGGTTCCAGGCTTGCACTCCAATCATCTTCTCAATACACAAATCGTTGAGGCAAAGTAATGGGCTTTGCCCTTCTTTCAGCCTTTGCCCCTTTGCCTTTGCTTTGCTTTGCTTGCTTCCCTTCAACACACTATGTAAATTCCAATTCTCTCTCCTCTCTCTCTCTCTCTCTCTCTCTCAAATTGTATAAAATAGTATATGTATGTACACATGTACATGTGTATCTGCAGCCTGTATTTTGCAGTATCTTCAACAAGACGTGTTAGTAAAAGTGGGAGTGTAAATTCACCCACGCGCCTTGCTAACCTCTAGGCTCCACCACCATTTCATCTTTTGATAAAAAAGAAAAATATTGCCAATATAATCTAATGTGAGATTCCAATTCCAAGTGTTTTCGACTAGTAAGATTAAATTCATGCTTAATTAATCCATAACATACTTGTTCAAGATTTCTTCATTGCTAAATGCGTTATATTCTATCATTAAATGTTAAGTTACATATGAAAAAAGTTATAGTTTTAGTGGTAGAACACTTATCCTTACACTTAAAACAGACGGACAGTTTAATGCTCATTCTTTTTCCTTTTCAAATATTACTCATCTTTTGAACCCGTTAAATAATAAATTCTATGTTACACGTGAGATATAGGTCATTATAGAAGAACTATATACAGTAAAACATGTAATTAGGTGGGTGTATCATTTTTTTGTGTGGATCCATCTTCATGATTGATCTAATCTCTCTAAGAGAAGTGTATATATTCAAAGTTTCGACTACCAAACGCAGTTGAAATTAGGAATTTAGATTTAAATGCTTGTATTTGGAATTAGGATTAACTACTTGACAATAATTAGTTTAATATTAACATCTCATTGAAAAGAAAAGCAAAAATATAGTTTTGGCATAGTTGGTAAGTGATTTTAAAAAGTCTCACTTCCTTAAACCTCAATCAACAACTTGTGGCATTTATTAATTAGTAGTTTATCAGAAGCTTAGACTTTGCACCTAATTTGTGGGACAAGTACAAGTTGATTGTTGGAGAGTGAAGAGCTTAGCTAGGTGGCTCTACTAGCTAGTAGTGTTTGGGGAAATTGGAAAGTGGAGTACACGCGCCGTGGAGGTGAGAGTAGGATTGGAAGATATATGAGGGTGCATGGTAAATATGGTGCAACCTCAGCTTGTTTTGTTTGTTTTGTTTGCAATTTGGTGAAGTGCGTTGGCAAAGTGTGAGAAAGAGAGCATGAAACGGACTTTGCGTTTCACAAAAACCTCTCTTCTCTTTGGGGCTTACACTCTCAATCTCTAAATTTGCAACTCTTTTCCGTTATATTTGGTTTTCCTTGCCTTAATGTCTATCTATCCCACTCTCTAAAATTACAACTTCTTTTTTTGTTTTTTTTTCGGGTTTTTTTCTTCTTCGATGAATTAATTTCGAACGAAAAAAAAAAGATTCAAATTTTTATAAATACCTTGGAAGCTCAACAGAGATTGAGGGACTAAATCACAGTTAGTGTTGTATTTGGTGTATGGCCTTATAATTATTGTTGAGTCTCTCCAACATGTCATATCATTGGCTATATATATAATGTAATAACAGTCTTCCCTTCCTTGCTTCCTCCCTACCCATTAAATCTCTCTTTCTTCTCTCTCTTTCTCTGTCTCTCTTAAGCTCTAAATTCCAAGTCTGTTGAAGGTAGAGGAGGAGGAATTGCCATGGAAGCAGCAGGTGGTGGTGATCATCATCATCTTCATCAAGAGGAAGTCATCATGGGGTGCAAGGAACAACAACATAACAACATTATTATCAAGGGTAAGCGCACAAAGCGCTTGAGGCCCCAATCTCCAATTCCTTTTGCCATCCCAACAACCTCATCATCCCCGGAAGATGGCGGTGGAGGTGATGGAGGCGGCGAGAACGATTACATCAATAGTGCCACCAACTTGTCTCCCACCACATCTGCTGAATTCCAAGATAGCACCACAGAGGAAGAGGAGGACATGGCAAACTGCCTAATTCTGTTGGCACAAGGCCAATCTCGGGCTGCTTCTTCTTCCCCCAATCACCACCACCACCAACCCCATAACGATCACAACACTACAAGTCGAAGGTTCTTGGAGGCAACGACCACTGTGGGGCCCACCGTGGCCAAGGCGGGGACGGTGGCAGCAGCAGGAGGGTGTTATGTGTATGAATGCAAGACTTGCAACAGAACTTTCCCTTCTTTCCAAGCATTAGGAGGGCACAGGGCCAGCCACAAGAGGCCCAAGGCAAATATTGGGGATGATCAGAAAAACAAACACTTAGCAATTGGGTTGTTGGCATCAGATGAAGAAGACACACAATTATTCAAGAACAGCATTCTCCACAACAACAACAATACATCTTCTTCCCCACTTTCTCTGCATTTGAGCAACAGAGGGTTGGTTTTGAGTAGCAACAAGTATTCTTCTAAGGTTCATGAGTGTTCAATTTGTGGGGCAGAATTCACATCTGGACAAGCCTTGGGAGGCCACATGAGGCGCCACAGAGCGCCAGCTGCAGCCAACACAACCTTGGCATTGACAGCTCCCTCAGTCTCTGCCTTTGAACCTCAGCAACATCAAAATCAACATCAACAACAACAACCCGCTAAGAAACAGAGAAGCATGTTGTCTTTGGATTTGGATCTCAACCTTCCAGCACCAGAAGATGATCACCATAGAGAATCTAAATTTGTGTTTGCAACATCAAAGCAGCAGCAGCAGCAGCAGCAACAGCAGCAACAACAGCAGCAGCAGCAACAGCAGCAGCAGCAGCAGCAGCAACCAGAAAGGTTAAGAACACAAATTCTGGTGGATTGTCATTACTAAAAGAAAGGTTAAGAATTTTTAGTGATTTCTTCACTCCAAATTGATGTCAAAAAGGTCAAACTTGATGTGAATTGCCACTTTAATTTTCTTTTAACTTCTTTTGTTATACCATTCAAAATTAGACCATTCTTTTGATTCTTTTGATTCATCTTCTTGACCATTGTTTAAAAAAAGAAAATGAAATATATGGACTCTGATCAAATTCTTTGTTAAAGCAAATGTTAATTTTCTGTTCTTGCTGAAAAGTGCATGATCATGAGCAACTTTTTCTTTCTGCCTTTCAAATCTCAATTGGGTTTTTGTTGTTTCTACACTTAGAGATTCAGATAGCAAGGTAGAGCTTAATTTGTCACCATTATTACAACCAAAAATGTCATCTGGGTGGTGTAAGTTTCATTGTTTCATTTACAAGAAAGCCAGCCCCTGGCCCTCCTCTTTTATTTTTTATATATTTTTTTTTCTCATTAATATAAGTGATAAGAATAGAATAAAAGCATAGAAAAGCCACTGAATTACTGCAATTCCCACATGAATCCACCCATCCTACTTTTTCTCTTTTATTCAATTAACAATATGCTACTAAAAAAATTATATCTACTTGCTATTTTTGTCACTTTCTTTGCTTTTGTCCAACTCTTGGCTTGTTACTTCCCCACTGTTACCACATAAGCAATATCTGGATATGATCCACTGTTTCATGACCCACAAAGCCATCAGTTTTAGGATTTTAAACATAGGAATTGAGAAAGTACTTTCTTTTTTCTTTTGTTGGGTTCTGAAAGTTTGAATATTGTCAAAGAACCCTAAATATATGAGCAATTCAAACATTAAAAAGTTACATTGTTTTGATCTTAGTATTGCAATTGGAACCCATAAATCTAAAGCAATTGTTTGCAATTTTGTAGCCGGGGAAAAAAAAGATGGTATTTACACGCAGTGCATTAGTTATATTATTGATCACATCTCTCACAATGTGACATTCTTGCTTATATAAATCATCAGTTCATTTCTATAAAATGAATTAATCGGAGAATTTGGAATTTTGGATTGAATTATATACTGTTAAGTACAGTTAGCTGCCACTAGAAAATGTGATCCCGACAACCCATGTAGTGTTAGTGGCTCATGTCCAATGCACATTTCGTAGTTGGAAGATTTTTGTTAGCTTTTGATATGCCAATCCGAAATGGTGGAGGATTTTTGGTTAGCTTTTGATATGCTAATTATTATGAGTAATGGTGATAGGGTTTGGTGGGCATTGGATTGGAGGACGTACCTAATTAGATATTGGGAAACTTATTAGGCTAACTAATTGAAGATTTGTGGTAATATGAAGGGTTATAGATCACGTGTAAGCACGAAGTTGCGATAATAACCATTGGAATTAAAGACAGAATTAAAACAAGACAAAGAGCCTTGTACACAATTGTACCAAATCCTCGTCCTCGACCTTGTATCATGGCGTTGTTAAGCATCAATTAGCTGTTTCTAAGTAAAGAGTTGGTGTCCTTGTAGAGAGAGAGAGAGAGAGAGAGAGAGAGAGAGAGAGAGAGATGAGTGTTCACAACAAGCTTAGAACATGACATGTAATCAAACTGAAAAAATTACCAACTTGGACCACCTTGAAATAATTAGCAGTGTAAGCTAAAATATATTGAAATTAGAATTACAAGGACTAAAAATAAAAAAATAAAAAAAAGGAAAAAAAGTCTACTCACAAAAAGCCATAAAAATTGACTTTAAAAAAAATATTTAATTGGAATCTGGTCATTATCATATTAGCATAAAATATTATACTGATAGAGTTGTGAAATTTCTCACAAAGTGGTCAATTTAATTCATCTTTTTATAAAGGGGGTGATAACTAGATGGATTTTGGTCATATTAGAAAGAAAAAAAAAAGAATGTGAGAATACTTACCACGAAATGTGCGATTCTTCATCACATTGAGCTGTAAATTGTCACCAAGGAATTGGCAGTAATATATATATATATATATATATATATACCACCCAAACTTGGGCATTGTGGTTTAACAAGAAAGTTTGTCTTGCCTAATGGCTTCTAGTGTTCGTTGTATGCAACTCTGGTTAAACGACACAGCTCAAAAGTATTCATGTGGATTGTGATATGGTGGGGAGTAATTATGAGTTACTGTTCCATTAATTATCTAGCATCTCTGCAAAAGACGTGGTTAAGAGCAGTTACTATTGTATTGGAGGTACTAGATTCAATTTCCCCTTACCCCACACAAACTGTTAAAAATGAGAGAAAAACTCACATGTACCGATTCTATAAATTGGGCGTTAATTTATTTCTCGTCACGTGATAAAGAGAGATAAAATTGCAAAGAAACAACCGATGTACCAGGATAACCAAGTTTTTCTCTAAATGGACCGGACAAGAGTTCAGGCTTTTTCCTGCCAAACCTGCTATGGACTTAAGTTTTGTCCTTACAGGAAATAGGCCCAAAATAATTTGGAAGCATGTGTAAAGCTCAGTGAATAAACGTGGACATATGAAAGTGCACCCGCCAAATGGACATCAACAAATGCGAAAAATGATGAAGAAAACAGAAAAATCAATCAAGACACCCATATCGCACACAAATGCACACACTGTCATCCTATCATCCTATCATCCTATCAGCATCATCTTGAATGATTCATATCGTATTTGTTCACATTTTCCCACCATTTACATCATCAACACATTTTGTGTTGATTTGCTAAAATTTTATAGGGTTATTTTCAGTTTGGTACTCGGTAATTGTACCTTTAAGGTCTGTTCGTCCATGTGTTTTCAATTTTAACAATGAAGTATCCCAACATTGAAAATTTATTACAATGTGGTTCCGACGTTAACTTGGCCGTTAAAACTAATTAATTAAGTATGCTATATTGAAATTCAATATTGATTATAGAAAATAAGGTTGGTCTGGGATTCTCACTTTTCTTGTTCCAACAAAAGAAAAGGCAGAGCATTGAAATCATCTAACTGAATTACTTGGCCACAATATCTTAATGTACACCATAACATCAGCAACTTTGGGACAAATCAAACATCTATGCTACAAAACATAATAAATCAAATATCCAAGAACTAGTACACATGCTCTGGGACTTTGTCCAATGAATATCTCCCAAAAAAAAAGTGTCTTAACTTCAGGGGTTGGTGCCCCTCATAAAAAATGGGATGAACTTCTAGAAATCTGAAAGAATGTTGCAACAATGCAGATGATGGCAATGTGAAACCTACAAACATCCAAAAATAAGAAAGAATGATAGGTTAGCTATAAGCAATATTAAGAATATAATTTTCAAAAAACACAAAAAAAAAAAAAAAAAGGGCAAAAAAGAAGAAAGCAGTGGCTAGTTTGAATAATTAACTCTTACCCTGCTGCTGTCTGCAAAGATTGTGCACTAGATGGCCCAGGTGCAGATGGAGAAGGTGGAGGAGGAGGAGGAGGCACAAGTGGAGCGGCCGGGGGTGAAGGAGCAAACTCTCCTGCAAAAATGAAAGTAAATTTAAAAAAATAAGGAAGCTACCATTATTATTTAAGCTAGAGAAATTAAGGAGATGGGGCTACAATTAATTAACACTGACCACATAGAAGGAGGTTATTGGGAGCACGCTTCTCCTTGGCAGGGTTGGGATCAGCATCATAAACTCTCAAATAAAGCTCCTCTCCCAAATACCAATTTTTCAAGTGCTGTGACCTCAAATTCCACATTCCTGGGTTGTCAAGGTATGCATAAACTGCAGTCCATCCACCGGGGTACACTTGCACGGTAGAACGCACAACCGGATCATAAAGGTTGTACTTAGAGCGCGATTTTGGGCTCCACTTTCCAGTTCCAAATCTGAGAAACAAATGTCAGAACACAATTATTGGTATGAAATGTCTGATATGTTATAAATTCTTGTTACTTGCGTGACAAGAAACGCTGACCTAACAAAATGTTTAGGGTCTTGTACTTACCCAACAACATAGAAACCAAAGCCATCCAAGTGCCAAGCATCCATGCCCTCCAAATCATTATGGAAAACAAGTTCTATCCACCCTTTATGCATCCCAGATGCAACGAAAACTCCACGTACGGTTTTAAAATTACTAGAGTTAGTAGAGAATTCATCGAGCTTGTATACTCCAGACCCGTTGAGAAATTGATCAGCCAACTTTAGTGGTGTGTCTGGGGTTAAGTAAGACACATTGTTGACAGTAAACTGGGGTAGGCCATTAATCTCTGCTGTAGATGCTCGGAGTATGAAGGTCTGTGAGAGTGTGACATTATGAACATTGAAGGCTCCTTGCGGATTAGGCCTTGCAGCCCCTGTGGTCAGGTTCCATCTTCACAAGGCAAAAATGTTCAATTACAAAATGACGAATATAATACAATAACACGATAGAATTAGAGCATTCAATTAAAAATTAATGGATCGTGTTTATTACTACCTAATGGATCGGGCCTGATGGATGGAGAATTGTTGATCAAATGGGTCAGGCCCACTCGGAAGAGACCCATTAGGAGGTGTGGTGGACTTATCATAGTGCAGCACACCAATGCCAAATCTTGTCACATCACTTGCATTGAACATTTTAGGGCTTGCCACCATGTAATAGTCTGAAGCAGCTTGGTCAGTTGTGACAAGAACAGAGTAGGACTGCCCAACATGCACATCAAGAGAATCCAATGTGATTTTATTCGTGTAGGAACCTTCTGTCTCAACCAAAACCATTTTGTGTTTTTGAATCCTGAAATTGAAACTCCATGCAGTGCCAACATTTGATATCCTAATTCTGTATGTCTTGCCTGCATATATAAAAGCTTAAATGTAAGACTATGTTTAGAAGAACAGATAATATTGAATTATATTTATCTTTATTTGTACCTTTTTCAACAGTGAAGGACTCATGGCTTTCTGTAGGAGGGGCTGAATATGCACTTTTTCCATTCATCAAGATTTTATCAGGGGTGCTGTTGTAGGCCATGAGATTTGTGTTCATCATGGACCTAACATCCTGTTACATTTAGGTAACATAAAATTGTAATTATATATCTTATTCAAAATTCACTTCTGTAGATATTGATATGTGATGATCTATAACATGGAGATTGGATGTGAATTATACCTTGAAACTTCTGTCATACCAGTCACCAATGAGAAGATCGAATTCGGCTTCTGGTTTAGGAAATGGTACTTGGATGATCG